AACATACCGTATAATAATGCACCCCATATATCAAAGAATCCAATATTTCTGAATACATCATACCCCTATACATCCCATATTACTTAATACACCCTAAAATACATTAATATACCCCATGACAACACACTATTTCCAAATACACCCTGATTTACTCATATTGTCTATATAGACCCCACTTTGAGAATCGTTGCCATATACATACTCATCCTCTACATCTACATCTGATCTATCTCTTAACACACTCAGAAAATTTCAGCTCACGTCTGCCCGAATCAGTGATTGACAGGCTCTTGTATTACCCAGCAAGCACTGCATGAAATTCTTCCTTCTTCACATATCACATCTAGAGATCCATAGGCTCCTTTTCAGGCTGTCACTGAGTGAAGCGGCAGAAAAAAAACATGCCTTTTCATCTCTCTTTCTCCCCTCTGTCTCTCGCTCTCCCCTCTGTTTCTCTCCTTTTCTTACTCTCTCTTTTAACTGTCTGAGGATTCTTTCACACTTTCATGCCTCTGTGCCCTAGTTGAGATCTTACTGTGTGGTGTCGACCATCTACTTTTCAGAATGGGATGTTGTGTGTGTGTGTGTGTGTGTGTGTGTGTGTGTGTGTGTTTGGTGGTAGTCCTGTGCACTGAGGTGGTGTGAGTGACAGCTTTTGGAATGGTGAGTCATTGGCAGCTCATCTGTTCTCGAAAGAGGTGAGCAGCAACACCACTGCGTGCACACACTCACACACACACACACACACACACACACACACACTGGCATGTTCAGCCTGGCCTTCTACTCTCTGTTTGCTTTGACATTTTTGTTTTTACCGCTGACAATGCACTGAATTAAGATAGCACACAGATAAGATTCAATTAACTATGAATACAATTTCAACACCTCCCAGAGGCCTGTGTGTGTGTGTGTTTAATTAATACTTCTCGTCTTAATTACCTAATAAGGCTAATTAGTTGCACGTATGACATCGGACATGAAACAATACGCTGTTCACACATTGCCTACACTGGCCAGCAGATATATATACACTTCTCTGCCTCACTCTCTCTTTCTCTCTCACGTCTAAATAATACTATAGTCCACAAAAGTGAGACACACACACACACACACTGTGCCACTTATATCTCCTGTATAGTAGTGTTGTATTTTTGCATCAATACAACCAGAACATTAAAGGCATCAGGCATCCACCCTGAACAACTCGCATATTAACCTTTATAATTAACATGTGACCTTCAATGGTGTTCAGGACTTCTTTGGTCTTTTTGAACTTTGGTTAACAGTTTCCTACATTTCCCACAATGCCATTTGACTAGCTGCTGGTACTGGTGCCAGTGGGATTTAACCTGCCCTTTAGCTCTACCTAAACAGAGTGATGCAGCAGCACTTTAGTCCTTTAGTTTGTCCAGCTCTCTTACTTCATCTGTGCACACTGCTCAAACAGATCAGCTTCCAAAGCTTCAACGACCATGCTTATACCGGCGTCGACGCCACCGTAGATCAATAACTGGGATCCTCTCGATGACAGGTGTGTTCGTCGTGTAAATAAGAGATTGAAATGATGCCACAGATCATTTTTTTCATTGCCTTGAGACATGTGATAACATGAGACATAACCCGGCACTCCCTCCAGTGTCCTTGTTTAATTGAAGCTAATTAAGATTACTTGGCATAATTAAGAGTTCAGGCCAGATTGAGGCCTGGACATTAGGGTCAGCTTAGCGAGGAGCTTCAAACTATTTCACACACACATAATATTGCTTGGTGAGTGATACTTTCTTTCATTCTTTGCCTGTGTAATCATTACCATTTTGAGGACCAACTCGGGGACTGGCTGCACCGATGTTATTGTGTGTGTGTGTGTGTGTGTGTGTGTGTGTGTGCTTCAATAAGAAAATTCATTTTCACTTATACTGATAATTGACTACATACAAGACATCCTCAATAAGCAGCAACACAGAGTCATGCTGCCTTGTAGCTATGCTAGCTAGCTAGCGACATTCCAGGACAAGTTGGAAGATTATCTTGGCTGCAAACATTACTAACATTAGCAAAAGTTAACTAATATCGAACTAGCTTCCCTGTAAAGACAAAGAGCTTTTTCTCCAAGTATTGAAAAACCCTGTAATCATCCAGACGTGAAGAGCTGGTTGGCTTCTACACCATTAAATGGTTCAAGGATCTGGGGATTCGGGATTCAGAGGCCAATTCAACAAATCGAACCCTTGGTCATGTTCGTCAAACCGTTCCTGAACAATTTTTGCATTGTAGCAGAGCACATCATCCTCCTGAAAGAGGCCACTCTCGTTAGGGAATACTGTTGCCATGAAGGAGTATACGTGGTCTGCATCAACCAGGAACACCCCACAAGACCTGTCGTTTTGGAGATGCTCTGACCCAGTCTTCTAGCATTCACAATCTTGTCAAAGGTGCTCAGATCCTTACACTTGCCCATTTTTCCTGCTTTCAACACATCGACTTCGAGAACCGACTGTTTATTTGCTGCCTAATATATATATATATATCCCACCCCTTGACAGATGCCATTATAATCAGATAACCAATGTTATTCACATCACCTGTCAGTGGTTTTAAAGTTATACTTGATCAGTGTATATGGAACCACAAATTACACACAATCTATTTTTTCGATAGTTTAAGTGGAATCAGCTGTTCAGAGGAAAGTACTTAAGTATCACAGTCTATTTTTTAATTACCGTTTAATAATTTTAGCCATCTTGCACCTGTGGTTACGTTTGCGTAGCTAGAAATTCAGTAGGAGTAGAAATTCAGTACAGAACATGGCAACCGCAAGAGAAAAATCACATGTCTGAAATGCTAGGATAGAATAAACACAGGCTTGGTTTTGTCGATTTTTCATCCACCGAGTTCGCCCAGCTGCCGTGTATACGCTGAGCAAAGCACTTGCTACGCTATTACATCATATTGTTTACGGAAGCCAGACAAACATCATCTCGACATGAAGTATTCTGTCTGTTAAATGTTTAAAACACATTTTTGCTTCCAATGTAAACCTTAATTCCCCCCACGGGTGCATCATTAAGCTGGCTAGCTAGCTACATTAGAGACTGTTAAGTTTGTTTAGACTTGTGAAGAATCTTGAACACTACTGATCGACAATAAAAAAAGGAAATCAACCTCAACATACAGAATCACATAAGCACTCTCACGCTGTCTCATGGGTGTTTTAACATGACAAAGATGAAGGTGTACTATACCCACTTATGCTATGTGTGTGTGTGTGTGTGTGTGTGTGTGTGTGTGGTGCTGGCCTTTTGTGTCTCACTGAGTGTATGTGTGTTTTTTGACTGACAGCCTGACTGAATGAGTGTGTGAGATGCCGTCTCGCCCTCGGGGACAGAGGAAGTAGAGTGATGTGCTTCCTGTGGGGGGGCAGGTTTGTCACAGCAGGTTTTTTTTTTTTTTAGCAGGCACACGCTCGGGCAGCCCCTTGTCCCCCCAGGGGCCTCGTCTCAGCCTCTGCTAATGCATAATTCATGCCGAGGCACAATTTTGATGTTTTGCTGGGGGCGGAAACATAAAAATCCAAGAAATTCATAAATAAATAAATCCAAGAAATTTTTTTTTGCACATTTTTCCCCCGTATCTCTGTTGTACAGTTATATAGAGAGTCAGTGTCCCAAAAGGTTCCCTACTGGATGTATAGTGCACTATGTAAGGTGTAGAAGCAATTATTTCATACACTATGTAGGGTAATTATATAGTGAGTAGCTTTCTACTGGACATGGTGCGCTCTTTCTCTCTATCTCTCTCTCTGTCCATCTCTCTCTCTCCATCTCTATCTCTCTCCATATCTCCCTCTCCATCCCTCTCTCTCTGTCCATCCCTCTCTCTCTATGTTTCTCTCTCTCCCTCTCTCCATCTCTCTCCATCCCTCTCTCTTCATCTCTCTCTCTGTCTCTCTCCATCTCTGTCTCTCTCCATCTCTCTCCATCGCTCTTTCTCCATCCCTCACTCTTTATGTCTCTCTCCATCTCTCTCTCCATCCCTCTCTCTCCATCTCTCTCTCCATCCCTCTCTCCATCTCTCTCTCTATATCTTGCTCTCTATCCATCTCTCTCTCCATCTCTCTCTCTCTGTCTTGCTCTATCTCATCTCTCTCTCATCTCTCTATGTCTCTCTCTCCGTCTCTCTCCATCTCTCTCTCTCTCTCTCTCCATCCCTCTCTCCATCTCTCTCTCTCCATGTCTTGCTCTCTCTCCATTTCTCTCTCATCTCTCTCTCTCCATCTCTCTCTCCTTCTCTCGCTCTCCATCCCTCTCTCCCTATGTCTCACTCTCTCTCTCCATCCCTCTCTTTCTATGTCTCTCTCCATCTCTCTCTCATCTCTCTCTCTATGTCTCTCTCTCTGTCTCTCTCCATCTCTCTCTCTCCATCCCTCTCTCCATCTCTCTCTCTCCATGTCTTGCTCTCTCTCCATTTCTCTCTCATCTTTCTCTCTCCTTCTCTCGCTCTCCATCCCTCTCTCCCTATGTCTCACTCTCTCTCTCCATCTCTCTCTCCATCCCTCGCTTTCTATGTCTCTCTCCATCTCTCTCCATCCCTCTCTCTCTCTCTCCATCCCCCCCTCTCTCTCCCCACCCCCCCTCTCTCTTTTTTTCCAGCACCAGTAGAGAAGCCGTTTCTCCAGGTCAATTTATGACCAATTAAAGCATGTACGACACAAGGCATCTGTCAGCTCTGTGTGTGTGTGTGTGTGTGTGTGTGTGTGCATGTGTGTGTTGGAGATGAGCAGGCACCACTAAAACACACGCTATAAAATTTTATATCTGTTTTTTTTTTCTCCAAAGAGGGAAGGTTATGGCCGGCTCAGGTTTTATGGATCAAATCAAACACACACACACACACACACACACACACACACACTCACACGCACACTTTATTTTGTAATAAAATCCTCAAATTCTATTATTATCAATTATAAAAAGCAGCTTGTTAATGTGAAATAGAGGAGCACGGTGGTTTAGTGGTTAGCATGTGTGCCTCACACCTCCAGGGTTGGGGGTTTGATTCCCACCGCGGCTCTGTGTGTGTGTGTATGGAGTTTGCATGTTCTCCCCGTGCTGTGGGGGTTTCCTCCGGGTACTCCGGTTTCCTAACCCAGTCCAAAGACATGCATGGTAGGCTGATTGGCATGTCTAAAAGTGTCCATAGTGTGTGAGTGTGTGTGTGATTGTGCCCTGTGATGGATTGGCATCCCATCGAGAGTGTACCCCGCCTTGTGCCCCATGCTCCCTGGGATAGGCTCCAGGTTCACTGTGACCCTGTAGGATAAGCAGTATAGAAAATGGATGGATGGATATTATTACCTACAGACTGACAGATCAATAAACAGACAAGTAGATATCTGTCTGTCTGTCCATATGTCTTGCTAACTCATATGTCTGTCTGCATTTGTTTCATATGTCTGTTTATCTATCTGTCTATTTTTTTCCATATGTCTGTCTGCCTACACTCACCGCTCACTTTATTAGGAACACCTGTACACCATCTCATTTGTGCATTTATGTAATGTTGATTGATGTGAACATTAACTCAAGCTCTTGACCTGCAGCCACCTGATTGGCTGATTAGATAACTGCATGAATGGGCAGGTGTACAGGTATTCCTAATAAAGTCAATAGTGAGTGTGAATTTTTTCCAGGTGTCTATCTGTATTTTTTCCCCCATTGTGTCTGTCCTATTGTCTGTCTATATTTTTCCTCTCTATGTGTCTGTCTGTATTTTTCCATGTTTCTGTCTATCCATCTGTCTGTATTATTTGTATTATGTGTCTGTGTGTCTATATGTCTGTCTGTATTTTTTCTGTGTACTGTACGTCTGCTCATCTCTCTGTCCACCTGTCTGTCTGTAATTTTTCCATGTGTACTGCATGTATGTTTATGTCACTGACTGTCTGTCAGATATTTTTCCATGGGTCTGTCTGTCTAAATGTCTGTCTGTATATTCTGCGTGTGCTATGCGTCTGTCCTGTTTGTCAGTAATGTTTCCATGTGTCGATTTAGCTTTCTTTCTGTATTTGTTCCATCTAAAGTTTGATGTATATGAATTATTACTATGAACAACAACAACAACAACAACATAACCTACTGTTTACCTCTTGATGGATGTTTAATTTGGAAATATCACACATGTTCTCTACTCTCTCTCTCTCTCTCTCTCTCTCTCTCTCTCTGTGTGTGTGTGTGTGCGTGTGTGTCTGTGTGTGGATGAGGAAGTACAGGACTCATTTGCGTTGTTAATTGCGTCGTAATGCGCATTTAATTTCCAAATGGCAGCAATTAATTCTTCAGATACAGAATGCAATGTAAACATTCTAATAGAGCCTCATAAAGCCCAGATCATTTTTCAAACACGGCCATCTGAATCCTCTCTCATTTTTCATACCGTATTCTCTCTCTCTCTCTCTCTCTCTCTCTCTCTCTCTCTCTCACTCACTCACTCTCTCAATTTCTCAGACACACACACACACACCTACACTGTGTTTCATATTTACTCCAATTTCTTTTATCTTTTTTCCTCCTTTGATGTTGTGACTACTCAAGTTGTCTCCGATTCTTCCCAAAGAAATTACATAAAGTTTAAAGTTTTTGTGCTCATATCTGGCCCAGAAGTAAGAGTGTGTGTGTCTCTCTGTGTGTGTGTGTGTGTGTGTGTGTGTGTGTGTGTGTGTGTGTGTGTGTGTGTGTGTGTGTGTGTATGAATCTGAATAATGGTGCCTAGTGGCTAGCAACAATAAACAAATTAGGTCTGACATGCATTTTGACCAATAAAAGCTATCACCTCTACAACACACTATTGTAAGAAGGACTTCATCACACCAAACCACAACATTCAGCTCCTGAACGTCCCCAAATGTCACTGAAACTACATTTAGTATAACGTTTTCTGTTTGCGGCCATGAACGCCATTCCATTGCGATGTTTTGTGAACAACCGTGACTGCGTACAAGGAAAAACTTACTGTAAAATCTGATGGATCGTCGGGATGTCTGATGTGAAGTGATACAAAGGATTTTGTAAAGATTGAATTCCACTAAGCACCTGATCATTTTTACATCATCATTAAATGTATCTTTACACTGGAGTGTGAATTCTGTTCTCACGCCCTGGAGCAGTCCATTACATTAATGGCAGATCCGTGGTCTTTTTGAAAACGTTAGTCTGGGGTTCGCTTTAACTGAACCATCGCACGGTCCACATCTGATATGGAAGCCATCTGCGCTTGGGGCTGCATGCCAAGTAACGTGATTGCTTCAAATTGTCACGTTACTTCCTATTCCTACTTTTGATTATTGCTATATAAGACGGACTTTCATAGCACTGGAGCACTGTAATTAGTCCACCTTTGTGGGATGAGTGCTTGCACTCAGAGCACAGTGAAAAAGGCATGTGTCGTGTCTGCCTGTGTACAAGACCAGGTATTCCTGCATGATGACAAATCCTGCATCCAAAAAGCATTTTTTTTTTCTTGAGTGTTGGTACTACAGGAAAAGAATAATAATAGCAGACAGAACCTAGTGCTTATCATTTTGCAAAAACGTCATATGGAATTGTACAATTGGTTCAGAAGGAATACTTCTATGTGAATGCAAACCTGAAAATACAAAGCCCCTCCCCTAAAATGATGCCCATAATTGGTCCTGAATGTGTGCTTGGGTTTTTAGACCAAGTGCGAAGCTGCCCTAAGCTACAACCCTGTAAGATTCGGGGGTTAGTACAGTTACACAGAGTACATGTCAAGTCTTGTGTTTTGAGGGAGGACGTTTCAAGTCAAGCCATAAATGTGTCTCAAAGGGAATGTGGTACAGTGATGGTTTTCGTAAGTGTCTTCAGGTAGGTGTTTTAAATCGAACGTGGAACGCTACAGAAGGCCAGTGGAGGGAATGCAGCAGTGGGTTGACCTGCCAAAAGTGACTTGCTGTAGTACAATCTTGAGATGACAATGGACGGAAGAAGCACCTGAGTTCACCTAAGATAGTGTGATCAGAAAGTTTTCCAAGATTTCGACATGGAGATGTGTATTTCCAGCTCACATTTGCTAGGATTCAGTATTAGGTGATGAGGAGATATCTACTGAGATGCAAGCTTAAACACAAGTCTCTGAGGGAGGAAAGGATAGGACATGTTAAGTGTCATCAGCATAGCAGTGGTATGAAAGACCATGTCAGGATATAACTTCACTGAGAGAGCGAGCATAGAGGAAAAACTAAAGAAGACCACACACTCCAAGGGAATGTCTACATGAAGGATCGTCTGATATGAGCGTCAGACCGATTAGAAAGCAAAGCTCCACCTTGCTTTACCATTAAGTACCTGGCTCATGTGGGCAGACAGGAGATTCTTGCGATGACTGTGTGTAATTCTGCTGAGAGGTCAAGAAGGTTCATGGTCGATGATAGGTTGCCTAATCTAACAGCATGAATTTTCTCAGGAGCGGCCATAAGGGCGGTTTCTGTGGAGCGGGTCATTTTGAAGTCAGACTATCTAGGATCCTGGAGGTCGTTCTGGGTGACAAAGCGAGACTCATTGTAAACAAGACTTTTTAGAGATTCAACAAAAGATTTGTCATTGACTAGAGTACATACTGACAGACAAAATAAGACTTATTTTCAGCAATACATGGAGTGTACAACATGATACTTTCAATGTAATGTGTCCATCTTCAATGCTTAAGTTTGGCTCAATTTATATAATTTTGTAAAGCTGGAATTATATCAAGCTAACAGCAAGAAAGATTCATTAAAATTTCACTCGGACACAAAAATAAGTTCATATCTCTATCTCTTGTTTTTTTTTTTACTGGTCTGATGAGCAGAATTGGCTAAATACAGCTTGTGGAGGTTTCACTGTTAGGGAAATGTCCCGCCTCCTGGCTAAAACTGAGGTTTTAATTAGCTCAGCCCCAGTACAGTTCACGTGCTTGGAGAGAAGGGAATTTTTCTTTTTCTTTTTTTTAAATCACACCAGACAAACACATCTTTTCAAACTGCTGCTCATGTTCATGGTGCATCATAAGTCAAGGTAACACACTCAGAGCTAAGTGCTGTCTGCCCTCTTCCGCATACATTACCCTACAGAGAATACGTAAACATTCTGAATGTGAAATTATTCAAGTTTAAAAGTTCACACAGAGATTATTTGTCTATTGTATTTAGCAGATGGTTAAATGGATTTATACACACTGGTAGAAATGTTGAATTGAAATGTGGTATCAGTTGTTTAACTGTACGCATGAAAATGAGCAAAGATCCCGTTGCTTTGCTTGTGAGAACCTTCCACTGCCGTAAATATTAATGCAAATTCAATGTATGCTTTGATACACCCAAATCTAACAGTAATTTGAACCTCAGTAACCAAAAGGAACGCTATTGGCTCTTTCACTTTGCAATAAAATCTACAAAAAAACGTTTTCCTATTAGTGACCAGACAAATGGCTGCTTTTGACCTCCAAAAGTGTCAGATGTTCAGATGTTCCTATTCTTTTGGGGACATTTGGTCCCCACTAAGATATAAATCCATGCCCGGACACACTGGGTTTGCATAAAGCAAACAAAATTAAATCTGCTTTGCTAAATCAAAGCATGTGTGATTTACTGAGCTGCTCTCTCTGGGACAAATTATTCCAAAACCTCTCCTCTGTATGACAGCAGAATAAAAACTAGAAGATAGGAGAGAGAGAGAGAGCGAGAAAGAGAGAGAGAGAGAAAGAGAGAGGGCCAAAAGGCTCAGAAAAACCCTTGACATGGGAATTAATTAGTGAACCGCGACAGACACACACACAGATTTATTTGCAAAAAAGCGTTTTTGCTCTTGAAAACCCTCGTCTGGTCTCCTGAGAGTCTGTTTATTCTTTTTTTTGTAATTCAAAAAATGTAAAAATGAAAGCAAAAATTCCAACCATCAGCGGTACACTGGATTAGACGAAGCGCATTAACCATTTATGGCAATGCCTGTTGTTTATTTACTTCAAGTAGACATTTTTAACAATAAACACTGGGTAATATTGGAAGCCCAACGTTCAAC